TTTATTCTGCAAACCATGACAATTAAATTTTACACTGCAGAAGATTTGTCATATTCAGCTTAAATGAGTTCAGTTCAGTAGCCGTTTATTCTATGCAAGCAGGATGAAATAGATTGACAACTGGCAGTCATTCAATCTGCGGTTTTACCTCTCCTCTGTTCGCCCACAGTGTCCTCGGGCCCCGCACACACAGCTGTAACCTTAACCTCGTTGGGGATTTATGAGTCTCTGGTCGGAAAGTGCTGAGGAAGCATGGGGAGATCAACTCGCACTCGTACAGCAAAAGGGGGAATTTTTTTCCCCCTGAACTCAAAAACTTGATTCGTACTATTTCTGTTTATGAAGTGGCTTTTGGGTACTTGATTTTACATCATACAAATGTCCAGGATCCATGTCAGATACAGCTTATCTTACATCTGAATATAATTATGTACAGTAATTGTGATTCTAACCCATGGGATTTTTAAAATATCCTTTGTACCACTCACTTCTTTGTTGTCCACTATTATCTGTTGTACAGGATCTTGTTGGTCAACATAGAGCAGTATCAAGTCAAACGCTATAGGTTTCCCAAAGTTTTTCAGACATTTGGAAGCCCGCATTAGATACATATGCATTGAATGAAGTTGTTGTGCAGGACAATACCAGCAGCCTTTAAGTATATCATGTAACGGCAACAATGGAAATAGTTCATTAGGGAGTCCGACATGCTGATCAGTAAGTGAATTGTTCCACTTGGCGAGGTTTTGGCCACCATGAAATCGATCCGAGGGCAATTGCAGTATTGGAAAGTCCTGCGAGACAGGACACGGGAACGGGCCGGTGACAGGTGACCTTGAAGGATAGAAAGTCCCCGGGGATGGGGATGGGGAGGGGGAGGGGCTTTTCATCCCCTGACCTGTGCAGAGGCTCGGTTTGCTTACTCTGCAAAAGCTGGTGGGGAAGGGAGGCTGCTGTCCCACATTGGTTTCCAAAACAGAGCCAACACTGGTCCCCCTATAAGTGCTGTTGCTGCCTTCCTACAGCAGTGCGTTCCTCCTCTTCCTCCCTTTCCTCTTTCTCGCTGCCAGCCAGCTTTTAAAAAAGCAGCTCCAGGTAGGGCACTCTGTCCGCACTGGCTTGTCAGTCTCGCTGTGTGAGTGGCTGTGTGGATGTGTGTGTGTGTGTGTGAAAGGGTGAGTGTGTGCGTGAAAGGGTGAGTGTGTGTGCGTGAAAAGGTGAGTGTGTGTGTGCGTGAAAGGGTGAGTGTGTGTGTGAAAGGGTGAGTGTGTGTGTGCGTGAAAGGGTTAGTGTGTGTGTGTGATCCTGAACATGTATGAGATGTGTGAACCCTGTATGTTTGTGGCCGCTTGTGTCTGAGTATCAGGGTCTGAGTGAGTATGAATGTGACAGCGTCTTTTTTTATGCGAGTGTCAGAATGAGTTTGTCAGGGTGTCATACAGTGAGTGAGCAGGTGAGTGAGTGACTGGGTGAATGAATGAGTGAGTAATCAAGTGATTGAGTGAATGAGTAGGTGAGTCAGTGAGTCAGTGGGTGAATGGGTGAGTGAGTGAGTAAGTCAGTGAGTGAGTGAGTATCGGTGTGTGTGAGGCGTCTGTGTGCAGGTGCCAGTGTGCTAGCGTGCGCGCGCATCCCCGTCTCCTGCTCCGGTTACCCATCGGGTGTAGGCTTACCTCGCTGAAGCTTTAATAGCGCTCAAGACACTGTGATCTCCTCATTATGGTCCTCAATGAGGAAGCAGCAGCAAGGACTGGCATCCTGGCTAGAGAGTGTCCTCTTAATGGACCCCTCAGCGGGGGGAACATCTGGGGACACGGGTAAGCCCCCCAGGGGGGTCTCCACTAGCATCTGTGTGTGTGTTTGTGTGTGTGTGTGTGTTGTAATGTGAGAGCCCGGTATGGAACAGAAAGTTACCTGAGGGAGCCAGCATTGTTTCTGTAACCACTCTAAGTGGAACATTCCTTTTTGCTTTTATGCAGAGTAAACACATAACTGACTGTTCAGCGAAGGAATTTAGGTTTGAGTGTGATGTTGCAGACTTTTCGAAGCATTGTGGCACCTATTCTGCTGCGCGAGGGATTATTGAAGTTGAGGATCTTGTCAATTTTATCAATGTCACGGTTTTGCTGCTTAGCAGATGGACAAGAAATATTGCACGATGAAAGATGTCAGGACAAGCGTGGTTATAATTAAGTACAAAAACTGGGAAAGTATTGAAGAGACTTTTAAACTTTGGTTTAAAGTAACTGATTGGTAAAATTTTTGCGCAGAGAAAATATGTTTGTTCTCCGGACATCACAGGGTGTTAAGTAACACGTCAGTATAGTGGAGGGGGAAACAACTTTAACAATTCAACCATATACATGCAAACTACACAAAATTACACAACAATCACTTAACATGATGGAGAACTTCCACATACAACAGAATATTGCATGGTCCTTCTGATAGAGACGTATGCAGATAACATGCTCCGTGGAGTGGGTTGATATCATTTTTAAATGACATTGCACCGTTAAAAACCATGGGTCCAGTCTCAATGAGTGTAGTGTTAGGACAGCAACTTATAATTCCAGCTAACAGACCTCATTCCTCCATGTCTCCACACAGATGGTATGTTCTTACAGCAAAAATGGTATAACTGCGCATTTCTTGTTTTTCATGTTGTTCTTACATACAGTATGCTGACAGACAGTGGTTATGTTTCAAAGGGAGACGCAGGGATTAACTATATACTTACACTGATCTGCAGGTAGGATAACAATTAGGAGCATTAACTTACCTCTGAGTTTATCTGTTAAAAGTTCCAGGTCACCCTGCTGACGAAAAACTCCTTTATCACTCCACGTCCTGTCTCTCTCCTCTAACTTTCGTTCTACTCTTTGGACCCACTAGTTAGGATTGTATATGACTCAATTGTACATATGCATGACACATATATAACCACCACCATCAACATTAATCCACGGCTCTGCATTACCACTTAATGACACCACTTGTGCATTTTCACACACATCACACTATCTTCCATATTCCTGTCTTACTCATACTCTCAGCCGTTCCAGCCGTCGCCGGACCCCTGCTTCCCCTTACAGCTCAATGCACCCGGAGGGAAGCTCTCTGCCTGCTTCATCTACCATGTAGTTTCTTTACTCTATTCTCAATTTAACTGTATTGAAGTGGCAGTGAGAAACCAGCAGGAGTCCCCTTACCAAACATAACTAGGAAATTAATAAGAAATGGGGGGGGATTGAAAGGTGTCTGTTACCGCGGCGCGTGCCGTTTACAGCCAAAGAGTGTCCCCCCCGGCACGTGAGTGTCAGTGCCAGCCACTGACGGCCACTCATGTTATCGAGGATGTAGGATTAGGTGGGAGGGGGCTATGGTTACCTGGGGGTGTCGTCTCGGCATGCAGTAACTGAGAGCTGGTTTCTCTTGTGACATCCTCGACTTAAAAGGGTTCCACCTGAATTTTATTAAACATCATCAAAACTCACAAACTGTAATTAAGTTAAAAAATGGAACTTGTAATGCACAACAAGGTTAAACAAATTGTATGAAACACCTAATACCACAAAGCAAGGAATAACAAATTTGAACGGGCACACTGTTAAAAACGAGAAGAAAAAAAAGATTGTCAGAATTTATTGTATTGCATAATGCAATTTACTTTCTCATCTTTTAAATTTTTGAATATATATTTATGACAATAAGACGTTTGTTAATTTAGTGTCTGCAAAATAGCAAGTGTAGCTGTGAATAAATCGAAGCCATATGCATGCATGTAGCCCAGTTCCTTGAGGCCGTGTGATGAATGTGCTGTGATTCCTTGGCATAGTGTTATTTTACCAGGCAGATTATAATAAAGGATAAGAGGGTAACAAATACTCTGCTCTAGTACTAGTAGCCCCTTTCCCACATAATTCCCACAAATTCCCAGTCATTCCCATTGTGTTCTCTAGGATTTTTTGGAAATCTTACAACAGTGGAATACAGAGGTGGACAGTTCAGGTCCAGAAAGTAAAAATCCAGACTAGGGTTTTGTTTCAACCAACCAACTGAGTACTGTCTCAGCTCACTGGAACTCTTTATACTCAACTGATTGGTTGAAATAAAATCTTTCTCGGGATTTTTACTTTCTGGACCTGAACTATCCACCTCTGGAGGAAAAGAAGCAGTTACATTTAATGCACAGGTACATTATGATAAGTATTCAGGCACTCCCCTGTGCTGAAGTCGGCATTTTGTTCCTCCCTTGGAATCCTAGCCGGGGGGGGGGGGGGGGGCGGGCGGATGAAGCTCATTGAAAGAGATCCTCTGCTTGTTTGCTCGTCCTGCTGCATTCACCTGGACCAAAATAGCTTAGGCTACCCTCCTTTCCATGCCAGTGCCCCAGCTTGATCCTCACTAGCTAATGTCTACCTGATCACTTAGTTATAAATGTGGGTTTTCCTTCAGTGATGCTGCAGTTCATACCTGTGCTGAGTGTTAGTGTGATTTTGATCTCCTTCCAGCAGGTGTTTTCTTTGGAAAATAGACCTTGTGTATGTTTGTAGAAAACGTTCGCTCTCTCAAGGCCACCGAGATTTACTGCCCTCTGAGGTGTCCCACAAAATGTCTGTTTGCACAGCGACAAGCTCACACCCAGAGAAGTTGTCCTCCACCTGCTGCATGCTAGCTTATTTCCAAAGAGACCTTGGTATCTAAGTAACAAGTGACTATGCACATGGGTCCTTTAGATGTCACGCCCTGGAGCCAGCAAGTACCTTCCTGTTGCAAAAGCAAAACAAGCATGTGCAGCAAGCACGCACCACGCATGGGCTGATTCGTCTGCTCTTCTCCTTGATTCTGCAGATTAGTGGGAGAGAAAACCTGACCGGGAAGCCGTCGTCTGACCTGCCAGTCCCAATGCTCCTCGGCCACCCTTGGTGTTCTGCCTTCTTTTGCATTGTCTGATCAAGGCCACCCTGGACTGGGCCTGAAGCCGGAGGTGTGCAGGGATGGAGGTGGCGCTTGTTGACTTTGAGAACCTGGATGAGGTCGGAGTCAGCATAGGAGACCCCGGTGACGTGGACCCGCCCACTGAGACAGCATCACTCACGGCAACATCCAATCAAAGCCATGGCAACAGTCATCAGCACATCCTGCAGAACAGTGGGAACAGGGCACAGCAGACCGGCGAACAGGGATTTTCACCCACAATGCCCCACACGCAGACTAGGAGAGGACGTCCTAGCTGTGGCAGCCTCATCTCCAACTGGAAGGTTCTACTAAACAGCGATGGGTCGCAAAGTGAGACTATATACAATAAGCTGTCTAAGGAGTGCGGCGATGGCCTGTTCAGGGAGAAGCAAGCTTTGGATGAGGGGAACCAGAAAGTCATCATCAACATTGCAGGCCTGCGTTTTGAGACCCAGCTCAAGACCCTGAACCAGTTCCCAGAAACTCTGCTGGGGGACCCTTTGAAACGGATTGGCTACTTTGATCCCATGAGGAATGAATACTTCTTTGACCGCAATCGTCCCAGTTTCGATGGGATTTTGTACTACTATCAGTCTGGGGGAAAGATTCGGAGGCCAGCTAACGTTCCCTTGGACATATTTGCAGATGAAATAACCTTCTATGAGCTCGGCAATGAAGCTATGGAGCAGTTTAAAGAAGATGAAGGATTCATTAAAGACGCAGAGGTGCCCTTGCCTGCCAATGAGATTCATCGTCAGTTTTGGCTTCTATTCGAGTACCCAGAAAGCTCCAGTGCTGCCAGATCAGTGGCGCTCGTCTCTGTCTTAGTCATTGTTATTTCCATCATCATTTTCTGCCTGGAGACACTGCCAGAGTTTCGTGACGAAATGGGAGACTTCCAAGCCATCGCCGAGTTTGCCAATCAGACGCAGGACGGCCCCATCTCCGTCTCCCCTCCAAGTGCCAGCCGCAAGTCTCTCGCTGCCACCCTCACTGACCCCTTCTTCATCGTCGAGACCATTTGCATCATCTGGTTCTGCTTTGAGCTTTCTGTTCGTTTCATCGTGTGTCCCAGCAAAAAGGAATTCTTCAACAACATCATGAATATGATTGACATTGTCTCCATCACCCCTTACTTTATCACCTTGGGGACAGAGGTGTTGACGACACCGGATGCAAATTCCGCTCAGAATATGTCCCTGGCCATTCTGCGCATTGTCCGCCTTGTAAGGGTGTTCCGAATCTTCAAGCTATCCCGGCACTCCAAGGGACTGCAGATCCTGGGCCAGACCTTGAAAGCCAGTATGCGTGAGCTTGGTCTGCTCATCTTCTTCCTCTTCATTGGAGTCATTCTTTTCTCCAGCGCCATCTACTTTGCCGAAGTAGACGAACCTCAGACACAATTTGTCAGTATCCCTGAGGGCTTCTGGTGGGCCGTAGTGACCATGACCACAGTTGGCTATGGAGACATGTGCCCTATAACCATGGGAGGAAAAATGGTGGGCACTTTGTGTGCCATCGCCGGCGTGCTGACCATCGCCCTGCCCGTGCCCGTCATTGTCTCCAACTTCAACTACTTCTACCACCGTGAGACAGAACAGGTGGAGAAGCAGGCTTTGGACACGAGCACAGAGGCAAGCGGGAAAACAGGGGGTGCCTCAAAGCACGTCAGTACCAATGGCAGCTCCACGGCTGACAACTCCAATAATGAGAAGCACTGAATTTTAGACGCTTTGACAACAGGCTAGGAAAACCTAAGAAAGCATGCACTGAAGAATTTGTTATTGCAGAGAAAAAAAGAGCAGTTCTGCTTTTATGAAAAAATTGTTTAGCAAGAGTCCTACTCTTAATTTCAAATAAATATCTACTGTCCCAGATTACTTCTTTTTGTGTGATCGATTTGAGATCCAGCATATGATTAAAGTATTTTAAATGCATGTACATGTGATGCTTTGCCTAAGTGCTTTGAGGATAAGGTTCTCTAACTTGTTCTTTTTAAGAACTGGTCAGGTTTGGCTTCTTCTAATATTTATTGTCCGTCAAACAAATGAAAATAATGGAAAAAAAAAATGCAAGAAGTAATATTAATTATATCAGCGTTGAGAAGCAATATGTGATGAATTGGCTCAATAATGAATGTTATAGTGATGTTTTCTGACTATGAGAATGATTTTAACCAATTTGGTTTGTTAAAATAATGCTGGTTATATCTGGTAAAATGCATGCTAGCTTAAAGTGTCAGCTTTAAAGTTGGATGCATATAGGTATCAATATGTTAAAACTTCTACTTAAATTCTTACCATTCTGCTTATAAATGTGTATATTATGTATATATAAATATATAGCCATCACCATGCACTTACAGGTTTGTTTTATTACTGTAGTTTTTATTTATTACACTTACACCGCATAGTTGTTAATTTTTCATGATGAGGTACTTGCTGTCTGTATGGATAAAACAGCATTTCTGGAATGTTTTTTGTGTTTTATCCTAACTATGCAAATAATAAAACGAAAATATAAAAGCAAGCTTAAATGTAACATGCTATTACTTATTTATTTTAACTCCTTTATGACTGTTATGGCAAAATTCCGCAGCTCTGTGTTAGAAGCTATTTATTTTGGTATGTTCTTTGATATTAAAACTGTGTATAGTGCTGAATCATGACCATGCATAGAGATTAGAGTACCTTAAATTATGTGTTTTAATCATGCAAAAGTTCTCATTTTTACAGCAAAGATTCGTTTTCACAGATTTGTTGTGTTTTTTACTCTGATTTGTTTTAACTTTAGGTTTTAAGTTTGTTGTCAAACACAGTAGGAATTCACAGGTGGGACATCTGACAATATTTGTGAAAGAACGATGCAGACGGAGAAACAGGATAGACATTTTTTATTTGTAAGAGATGTTTTTCAGAACCCAAATGAACATTGGCTTTTTAAAGTGAACAGCTACTTATTAGACTCTTCTAATGCTCACAACAAAGCTGCTCTTGACAGAGTCTCCTGAAGTTTATAGCAAGAGTCAGTTAATGCAGTAAATTTGATACGCACATGTTGTCTCTTGTGTTTATGTGTTGTTTGGACCGATCAGATGGAAGCTTGTTTGCAGAGAACAGATAGAATTGCAGTGTATCATTTTACTCCAAAGACAAAAGCCAGTAACATCAAGTGCAATGCAACAGTAGATTCTTTGCAGACACTTTGAAAGCAAAATATTTTGGTATGTCAATCACATCCAAACAGTAGCAAAAAGCTGTCCAGCCTCTGTAGAAAATACCATACTATAAATTGTATTATTGACCTTTTGTGTATCGCAAATACAAATACAAAGTAGCCATTCAGCACAACTTAACCTGATATAACACTGGTTCCATAATATCCTTTTTGCATCTCATTGATGTGTAAGATAATGTGGGTTTTTTTGTTACCTCAGGTGAACTATGAGAAAAACTTTCATGAATTGATTTTTTGGGGCTTAATGTCGCTTTTGAGTCAGCTGAGTTCAGTTTTTGTGTGCGGTTTTCTTTCTTCCAAAAACCTAATACATTTTGCCACTGTATATTTAGCCAGAAAAACAGACAGAAAATCCCTTTTAACTGTTACGCTAATTAGAAGAGAGAGGAAACAGGTTGCTGAGTAGTAACTGCTGGGGGTGAAGGTGGCAGCGATTGCTGTTCGTTAGAATGAGTAGCTGTGCCAACCAGAAAATGAAACTATTGTCCCTCCAATCAGCAAGGGACATTGCCCCTTCAGCCTGATTTTGATTGGATAACTTCTCATCAGGCTGCAATGGGGGTGGAACTTCCCAAAATTAAATAACAATTGAAAAGCATATTAAAATATTTAAAATGTTTTAGGAATTTATTACTAGTAATAATTCAGCATGTAAAAAGACGAATTGGTAGGTGGATGGTGAGGAAACTCATGTGAACGTCAGAGCTGCTGCTGTGTGGATCAGTCGGCTCTCTCGGCGATGCTGCGGCATGGCGTTAATGAGTGTCTTCTCGTCACAGCCTCCTGTGAGCCCCCAGTGGCCGGGGGGGGGGGGGGGGGGGCACACCATGTGATGGCTGGCTGCTGCTGGCTTGTGTCTCATGGTTCAGGGGCAGACTAGTGCTTTTTATATCTCAGATTTGTGTCAAATATTTATTCTCTCAAAATGATTCTGTCGTTCCGTCGGGGTGGGACTCCTTTATTTTTTAAGGAGGACCTGATGATGTTCACTGTGTCATGGTGATAACTATTAAGGCACCCACCCAACTTCTAACTGCTTATCTTGGACCCTGGAGCCCATCCCAGGCAAGATAGGGTGTAAGGCGAGGGTATCCCCTGGACAGGATGCTAGTCCATCACAGGGCACATACACTAGGGTTGATATAGAGACATCAAATAGCCTAACTATACGGCTTTGGATTGTGGGGGAAGGTCACATGACATGGGAAAAACATGCAAACTTCACACCCGGAGAGGAGGCGGATTGAATCCTCCCCCCCGCTGGAGCTGGGAGGCGCCAGCGCGACCCACTGAGCCACCTTCTGTCCCTGTTTTCTCTGTTATTTCCCCCTATTTTCTTATTGATCTCATTCAGTTTCCAGTTACAGTACCTGCTCTCGGGGAAACACGAGCAGCCTCCCGTCCATGTGAAAGGCAGATGTAGGCCCTGTTTCGGTGTTCCGTCACAGAGCGGATCTCCCCGCTGTATGCCAGCTGACCCGGGTGCTCAGCCAGTCGGGTAATCGCTGAAGGACTCAGATCCAACTGTGGTGCCATTTTAATGAGCGCTGACAGATGTGCACGTTTAGCAGATATACCAGTGGCTCCCGTGACCCTGTAGTACAGTGTTTCCCGATCCGGTCCTTGGAGATCCACAGTCAGTCCATGTTTTTGCTCCCTCTGAGCTCCCTGCCAGAAGGTCCACATTTTTGCTCCTTATTGAGGGCTTAATTGGGAAACACTGCTATAGTGTATAAGCTGTTCTGGAAGATGGATGGATGGATGGATGGATGGACAAGAGAAAATAAAAAAACATTGTTTACAACTACCTTCTATCATTGCTTTTCAGGTAAAGTCTATTTTCACACACATATCTATTACAGAGCTGTCCAAAAATCAAAAACCACCATCTTGACTCATGGCTATAATCAATTTCATTAAAAGGTACATTCAATTTCAGCTTTTTAAAGCTTCAACAAGAATTTAATGTTTTTTTTTTTGCACTCATATATTACATTTAATTATACACATTTTGGCCTTGGAGTTACACATTATATAGTATGAGCACTTGTATAAATAAATTAAATATACTGATTTATTCATGACCACAGATATGCAATAGCCAGATGGAATGCATCTGAACAGCAGAGATAATATAAGAAATATATAGAAATCAATGGAGGACAGAAGCTCCTGGAATTACCACATGTTCAAGAACGTTCTGCACCACACTATGCTGTACTGAGACCTGAAATGGTATATTGGCCAGCAAGAAAACCGGATAGTTACAGTACAGTCAGGGGCGGCTTTTTGTTTTTGGGTTCACACTCAAAAAGTCACTTTGCCCCATCCCCCCCCCCCACCCCCTCAGTGTAGTGACTGCCAGTGTCGGACATTTCAGGTCCGGAAACTACAAATCCAGACCAAGATTTTGTTTCTACCAAGCATTTGCACACTCTGCGACTGTGGCTCTTTATGCTCAGCTGGTTGGTAGAAAATCTTGGTCTGGATTTGTAGTTTCCGGACCTGAAATGCCCGACACTGGTGGCCAACAGGGCCAGGAAACAAAAAAACTTGTGGGCTGGGTACAGCAGGTCACATTGCGGCAGAACCCAATTGGCTTAACTTGCATTACTTGCTGGTTGAAATTTGAACTGAACTTGCATGGTTATCTTGCCTCAGAGAGGAGGGAAGCAATTGACCTTGGCTGCCAGAGGATTTTCCTCCCTATTATTCTGGCCGAAGGGGCTTCTTTTTCTCTGCTTTTTCTCCATATGCACTGCACTGTCTATGTTGATATATGCGTATGTAAAACACCATGGGGAAACTCTGCTGGAAACCGCACTTTAGATGTTTGCACCCACTGAATAGCACAGAAAGCCAGGATGATGGAATTATTTCACTGTTCAAAGCAAAATGGGGACAAATACAGTAACAGCGTGTGTGCCAAGGCAGTGCTGTAAATCGTACAGAAGGTGACATGTACACGGTGGCAAGGTGTGCCAGTGCAGAGGAGGAGGGCAGTAGGATGAGCAAAGAAAAATGCAAAACAAGGAACATACAATAAGTACAAGGCTCCTTTAAAACCAGCAGAACTCAAGCCAATGTAAAAAAGTGTGCCAATGAAACACTATCCCCTACAGCCCCAAGGACATAGAACATCTCCTCCAACCTAGAACCCCCTAATGTTACCGAAATAAGACCAACAGCATAAACAGGGTTTGCAGGTTTCACTGGCTTCAGGAACCTGAGGAACTTCAGCTCCATTGGTCTAAATTACTTGCAAGGCCAAAATCGGTGATTAGTAGTCATGGTGATGGATACATACAGTAGAACTAGAAAAGGAGTGGGATTCTGTTGCATTGTCGCTGAGCACAATCGACAGGTGGTTGCTGTGCTTATTGCGGTCACTGGTCTTTACACCTTGAAGTGCTCCCATGGTTATTGATGGTCATTCATCACCAGGAACATGCATACAGTATGGGTTTAGAGGGTGGTACTGTAT